AACTAGCGAGCGCAAAAGTACCATTACGCTGGTAATTAAAAATCATAATAATATATCCACTTTTAATCGCAATGGTCGTAAGAGTAAAGCTTTCAAAACTCTATATAAAATACGGGAAAGACAACATTAAGATCCTGCACCCCCCCCCCTTATTTTTTGTCTATCATTGTTTTAATTCTTTTTCCAGTCCAGTTTCAGGATTCATCATCATGTTCAATATAAACAAATACGCCCCCCCCCCCCCCCCCCCACACACACACACACTTTAAGCAGTTTTAAAAATATAAGTAGACCTTGCGTTATGGCAGTTTTGTGCCGTCATACATCAGGCCAGCCGGATAATAAGTGTCATTGGCATAATGAGCAATCGCCTTTTTGCTGCAGCTTTTCACTTAAAATTCCAGCCTTATTTGCTCCTTTCTTCGTGAAAGGCACTCCTTATTATCGTTTATTTTTCTTCTCGGTATTGGGACAATCTCCAAGTGCTCCAGTCCTGTAGATACTCTCTGGAAATCAGGGGATCCCAAGCCCGCGCCTGTTTTCTTCAACATAAGCCCAAACAAACGTCTCTTTTTCGTCCAGTATTGGAAACTGACACCAAAAAACACCAATTATGTGCAAAAGAAAAAAAGAAACGTAAACACGGAAGTTTATATTGTGCAAGTTGTTACCCAAAGTAACTTCAGAATCTAACTGCCGTTAGATTTTTCCTCTGCCATAGGGCCAACGGCCCTTTCAGGCATATTCTCGGTGAAAGACCACATGCTGTTCTTGAGACGTGTATCCTGTCCACGGTCTTTCCGTCGTCTCCGGTCTTACGATATGCTAATACGATAGAAAGTGAAGCTAGTTGGATGTTAAACGCGAGACGTTAAACTGGTCCCAGGCTCCAGCGTTGGTGTATCCAAGAAATATTAAAACATTAAGTGCGCAGAACGACATCGCATTTTAGAGCGCAGCTCTCAGGCGCCCGTTTCCGGCTTGAGAGGCGCCGCCACCGCCGTCGGCGTAACCGCGAGATGCGTTATGGGAAACGTCCCATAATGCGGCGCGCGGGTTTCACTGGTGATCCGCGCGTTTCATTGTTCGACGTTTCCCATAATGCAACGCGTGGGTTACGTAGGTTTCACTAGGAGGAAGGAGGAGGAGGGAGGAAGAGGAAGGAGGAGGGAGGCTGAGGGGGAGGAGGGAGGAGGGGAAGATGAGGAGAGAAGAGGAGGAGTTGAGGAGGAGGAAGGGAGATGCCAGCTACTCACTGTGCAGGCAGGTGATATCGCCGTTCATAAATCACACAGAGGTAAGTATGAAAACGTGGTGTATTCGTTATCCAAGTAGCCATCTGCATGGGTACGGGTCTGTGCTGTACCCGTCGATCTCTGTGGCACGTCAGACGAAGTTGGTAAATTTTGTGCCGCCAGTGTCGACAACGGCTTGCTCGCGGTAGCTCTGCATCTCTCCCCTACGGCATTCACCAAATATTTCGTGCAAGACAAGGAAGAACTTCATAACAGTCATGCACGAAAACATCGCATTGGCCCCGAGGGACGTGCACTCGCTGTTCTGCTGTGCCATCTCGGGAGGGCACGCTCAAAACTATTGCTGATGAAGTAAAGAACGCCGAGCACTCTTCGACAGAGCCGAGAGCAAGTAGGATGATATCGAGAGTATCAAATGCTATAGTCACAGTGTTGACTTCAACGCTGCCTCGTTCTCCCGCCTTGAGTCTGCTATCCTGTTTCCTGGCACCGGCAGAATTTAGACAGAGTGGAGCTTTCAGATGTGAGAACTACATTTGCTTTCTCCGGTCAAGCGGTGAACAAGAATACCATACATATATATATATATATATCTTTCTCAGATTGTTTAGCACGGCATATCGCAAAATCGAAATACCTCAAGAGAGCAGCACGAGGAGGAGGAAAGGAAAGCAGGAGGAGGGGAAGAGCACGGGAAGACGAGGAGAGGGTACGGATGATAGCCTACCCTCCTCCTCCTGCTCAAGAGCTGCGCTCTAGTTCGGCATTAAAGGGAGTTGTAAACGTCTTTCATTTTTTTTCTATATGTCTTTTGGTAAGACTTATACTTACCAAATTTGTCTTTATAAACAAGCACGTATGCCGACAGGGAGCTGTCAGCGCGGCTTGTCCAAATGAGCCTGCTTTTTCTAAACGTGAGGCATTTGCACATGCTACGTCTAACTGTAACGTCAGAAACGCGAATTGGTCCATAGACTCACAAATATCCATCGAATTCAGAAACTGCTTCTCAGTCTAAGTCACCCCAACTTGTTACATTGGTTCATTTTTTCTTGTGTTCTTTTATGCTCTTACATCACATGTCTGTTCTCGTGTTCTGGGGTTATCGACCAACGCTGAAGGACGCCAACCTTTCTGTGCGCTAAGAGGCGCTCCCGTTATCTTTGAAAGCTTTCAGGGCGATTTTTCTCAGAAGGCGCCGGTGAAAGACTGCTGCGTAGGCTTAAGGCTCGGGCTTCAAGAGCTTTGCGGGTTCGAGTAGTGTGCAAAACCCTTTCAAAGTGTGCATGCGGAGGCTCTTTTTGTTCATTTTTTTTCTACAAATTGGAGTGGGTTTTAGATCCCCAAATTGATAACTATTTGTCTTGCTGACCCCATTACCTCAAGAAATTTCCCCTTTTGATAAAGTGAACGATCTGGGGTTTACTTGTCTTGTCCCCCTACCACCACAAAGGAATTATTTGCATCTTGTGGATTATGGCCAGAGGATCTGTTTATGAACGCGCCTAATTTGCGTGTTCGCTGAATGATGTTATTTTAGTTTCGTGCTGGCTATATCAGGAGTTTATCCAGTATTGTCAATCTAATTTTATAGCCAGAATCCAATAGATCGACTGGATAAACTCCTGACCCGGGGGGGGGGGGGGGGGGGGGGGGGTATCATAGGTTTATGTTTTTTGTAGGAAATTAGGGGGGGGGGGGGAGGCGGCTGTATTAAGCCTGGGGGTGGGTGTGAGGGGGGTGTGGGGGATGATTTAGGAGTAAATCACTGCTGGCGATCCGAAGTGAACTTTGCTATGTATAATCTGCGATTTGTGGGTGTAGGCAACCCTTTGTTGGGTTGAGAGCCGTCTAGGCGTGCCGAAGCAGTCACGTAAATAAGCCTTCGACGGGATAATAGCCCGACTCATATTCATGCATACCGTTCGATACCGTGGCAAAGCAAGTAGCGTGAACCGCGACCGCATAGATTTTGTCTAGCCTATCGTTTACCGTAGCTCTTGTGCGAATAATACAGCAGAAATCGACAGACTTGGCGGTATCGCTTGCGATGCCGTCCAGTCTGTCGAACAGGGATCGGCAAAAACAGGGGTCGGCAACCGAGCCACTGCTGGCAGCGGGCCAGAGGAATGTCCCCCGACGTCAGTGGCGAACACGCGGCGATGTCAAGCGTATAAACATGTCTGGCACTTTGCCGGAAGGAACCCCGTCGAGTCTCGGCGTGTTCGCCACTGCCGTCGGGACATTTCTTTGGCCCGCTGCCAGCAGTCGCTTGGTTGCCGACCCCTGTTTTTACTGTTCCCTGCGGATGCGTCACTTTCTTGCGCCAGAAGCAGATGCTTTGCCAGTTGCTCGTCGAAAAAGGCGTATGCGCGCTCTAACCTTCCAACTCCGGGCGGTGCCCGATCATCTGTCACATTTTCCGCTTCGATTCGGATGACGGGTTAGAGCACCAAACTCCCAGGTGTTGGCCCTGGAAGCGCACCGACTTAAGACGACTTCATCTCGTAATGCGATTGAGCGATATATAAAATTCAAAAGGAAACGAGATTGCCGACGTACATCGCGGTGTAAGTTGACGTTCTCGGTTGCTCGTTATAACATCCGATTAGAAATTTCAGTTGGCGACAGAGCATCGCAAACTCGAATGACGAATGCGCGATTTCCCGGACACAATATCGAGGAAGGTGAGTCAAAGATTTGAGACAGCGATTTAGAAATGTACCCGGGGGTTTACCTGTAAATATGCAATACCTCCTGTGCTTCTGCGCTCATTTGTAAAACTGACCTACTCGTGTTTTATTTAACGACAGCGCAGATAACGTAATCTCAGTTCTATCTGATCACAGAAAGCCCCCACCAAACTTGTAAGGCCTCGATGTTTGTGCTTGTGTGCATTCACAACCCTTCGCTTTCTTCGGGTGAATATATGTTCCCAGCACACTACCTACTATCCAGTGGTGATTAAGGAGATTTTTGCGTTGATAGTGTTCTCGTTGCTCGGGGATAGAAGAGATCATCCTACAGTCAACTCGTCTATTCGTTTTTCATCT